GGGGGACGCGAAGGTTCCGGTGTTGGTACGAAGTTCACTGGCTGATTCTCGCGTATAAAAGTAACAGCAGGAGGACGTACCTGGTTGTTTAACAAATTATCATTTATATTTCCAGGGAGGATGCTCGACGCGGAATGATCTGGGTCGGGGGCCGAGGGGAGGTGCGATAGCGGAAGTGGATCACTATTGGTATCTCCAAAGTCATCAGTCACAACACCGCACTGAGAACTGTCTGTGGGGCTGACGATCTGGTGTTCACGGTCAGAGTCAGGGTCAATAGGGTCACGGAAATGGTCAAAACGTCGGCCAGAAACAAATACACTTTCGGGGCTGCGAGCAGGTTTGACGGGGGAGGTGAGGGGTCAGTGCGTCGACTGAAAAAGTTCCAAAGGGGCATCGTCGTGGAAAAATTGCATTATGTTTGTCAGGAAAGGATGTGTACTTAATTTTGAATAAATTGTATAATTTGCACTTTAAGAGATTATGTATGTAAAAGTTAATTTCTTGGCAGTCAGAGGAGAAAAAGTACTCTGGAGGTCCACCAATGTTATGTATGCATTTAGAGGAGAGATGAGAGAGGAGAGATGTGTAGTTTAGGAAGGCTTTATTAATAATAATTGTGGTTGCATTATTACATTGCATTTTGCATACTATGTATGTACCTAACACTACGTATATACCTAACACTAGTAAATAAATAATTCTAATTCATAAGTTACAATATATTATTTCTGCAAGATGTATAATACTTATTTATAATATATAATATAAGTAATACACACATATGTGTATATGTATGTATAATATAAATAATATGTGAATATTTAACCTATGTACATACGCCCCTAGTAAATATAATTACTGAGCTGACTGTAACCCCCATTTTAAAATCATTGGGGAAAAATAAAACTATTCGGTCTACATGGAACTAAAATAATGTGATTAAGACGAACCTCGTTCTCCTATTAGAACTAGAAAATATGGGCATTAATAAAGGTACATCAGTAATGGTTGACAAACTTAAGAGGTACTTCTACTTTTTGGGTAGGCGGTTGTGCAAATAATTTATAAAAACCGATCCCAAAATTTAGGTCAGGCAAAGGAATAAATAGCGAAATACTTAGCTACATAGTTGAACTTGAATTTTGTCCGTTGCCATGCAAGTGAAGGAAATGTGTGTTGTTTTGCACAAATACTGAATACCGTACATATTTATATACTCTAATTGTTGCTGGTGCAAAAATTCGGTACTGGACGTCAGTAATCTGGCTACAATTAGAAACTAGCTATAATTGGATACCTCATTTCCGCCCAAATTTGAAACATTACAAGATCAGATATAATTCCTACTAATGCAATTTGATGTTTTTTATTTAACGAGATATTTGTTTTGGCAACTTTGCATCCTTCATGTTGAAGTTGAAGTAATTTTTAAACAGTTTTGAGGGTTATATTTAAAAAACTACACACTTTTATACATATCCACCCGACCAAGTTTTCATCAAGGTCACAAATATTCCATTGTTTTTCTGAAAAAACAATGAGCAAATTACTACCAGTCCCCCTGAGAAATTTATGAATTTCTCTTAACGGGAGAATAGCTGGCAACCAGAATTTATTCTGCCCTTGCTGTTCATTCTGGATGAATATTTCTTAATATGTATTATTGGCAAACATAATAATGAGGTTTCTCGGTCTGTAGCTAAATAATGTAATATTAACCATAAACTGTTATTCTTAAGTTAACCTTTAAATAAAGCTTGAACAGAAAAATATTGGGTATTTTTATGCTTAAACCTACAAACAAACATATTTCCAATAGACATCATACAACTAAATTATTAAGTTATGTAAATTTAATTTTACAATGAATTTCTCTTTCGTGGTCTCCCACGTCAACGTTGGGTAGAAATTATAAATTTTGAGATCATCCATCCATGAAAATTGTTCAGCTTAAAACAAGCAAAATTTTGCAATCATTCGAATTCTTTTCGTTTACCTATTTTGAAAAGATACTAGCTTTGGTGGTTCTATGCAAAAAAGTGTTCTGTGCATGATCCCACAGTTATTCAGAAGTAATTATACTTGACGTATGCAAAGCGAAATGTGCCCATCCCGGCCAGACAATTTTCTAAGTAGTTATGGCCACCGTTCCTTCTACCTCTCACTCGAATCGGGACTCTCGATCTGTTCCTTATGAACTACAAATTTTCCTACAATGCCAAACCTTCAAGCTTTGTATATTTACCGTAAAGTTTTCTTATTTTATTTCGAATTCCCGTGTGCATATAATCGGTCAACACGTAGATTCTACGTGAAGACGAAAAAGGATTTATTCTACTCCTTCTACGTCCCAGAGCTTATCGTGATCATTGCCATATTTTCAAACTTGGCCGAGCTCATCAACATCCTATATTCAGAAAAGATCCAAATTTTACAAGTCGTCGTTCTCCTTATTGGTCTTATTCAATGCTCATCCAACGTCACTACGGCGGCCGCTATTTCCTTAGTAAAGTATGAATACGCCGCATTCTTAAATGATCTGATCCGACAGGTTGAACGGTTAGAAAGAGGTGAGTGCTAATCAGTTTATGGATGTATATATAATACAATAACTATATACATATCTATGTAAGTAAGTAATTGGTAATCATATTTTGTTCAGAAAATTCTTGCAAGCCTCATAGCTCTTAAAATTGTTATTAGTACTACATAGGTTTTGGAGTAGTACCCAGAGTCCGTAAATATTTATGTGTATACATGAACACAATTGAAGCTAAATTACTATTTACTATATAACCTATTGAACATTTAATGTATGCATTTGTTGTGTCAGTGGATAGATTGTCTTCCTCCAGTATCGTTTTCTCGATTCTTAAGACGTCATTGAAATAGGGTCGGCACGGACAATTTTATTACCAAGTAATCCCATTATCCTTTTGCATCAAGTATTCAAATTCTAATTCCTTAGCCTGGAGTCAGTTTCAATTTTTGATATAACATTTTGAATGCTTCGGGTGGAATGTGAATATAAATATTTATATATTACCATGTCCAACGCAATGGCAACGAAAGTTGGGGAGACATACATATTGGGACATGAGGGATCGATGGAAAGAGGAGGGGCAAGATCTGCTTTAGCTGAATTTCTGGGAGTCCCTGTCCCCCCGCTTCTGCCGCCAATTGTACAAGGGTGATGTTTATGAATTGATATCTCTGTTTGTCCCTATTAAAATTTGTCCCTCATAACAGCATAAGTAATCTACAATATGGCAAATATTCCAAATCAATGTTATAATAATTTAATTATTCTCAGTGCATTTACACATCACAGGTTCAAAGAAACGTCTAGAAAAATGGGACAAGCTGGCCATCATGTTATCCAACTTTATCGTCGTATCCACTCTGCCAATACTTTTCACCCTGTTCGAAGCATACTTGACCATCAATGACAAGCTGGCTCACCTTCAGTACGACTTGGCAAATTCTGTTTGTCCAATGAATACGTATTTTGCATGCAAATTGATCACATTCATAGTATTGGAAATTTACTATGTCTTCGTTGCATTCCACTGTACCGCTATCCTTGTCGGGTCAGTAGTAACCAGCGCGGTAATTTTAAACATGTTGATGGATTCGGTAAGTAGTTTGGCCCGACTTAATCTCTGCACGCAATCGATCCAAATGTATCAAAGGTTTCGCATTTTGTTCAAAACCCTGGAGAATATTACTACTTGTTTCACCAGTTTGTTGCTCTCGACTGGATTTGGATTTACGGTCATGTGCAATTTCACAACTGTTGGAATGTTTGGTGTTATTCGGATGCCGTTCTATCTTTTTTCCCACTGCGTCTGTCATTGGAATGGTTGCAATTGGTGTGCTGCTGCCTTATGGGATCGCGTGTCAAGAGAGGACTGGGAAATTGTTGACGGGTTGGAAGGGGAAGCTGAAAATCAAGAGGGGCACAATGCGACTTGAGGAGAAAATGGTAAAGGCTCTAAGGCCTATTGGAATCAGGGCAGGAACGGGAGAATTCAGTTTTTTTGTGTTGAAAAAATCCACAAAAACAAAGTACTACGTGGCCGTGACGGATAAGACGATTGAAGCTTTGATGACGTAACTGTTGGACGACTTACACGTCCTGGTTAGCATTGCTTTAAACAGTGTTAACCTGAACGTATCGATAATTTCGAACGGGCCACAATTGGCCCGCTGTAAAGCGAGTACGAATTGGCAGTGAATGTATTCGTAAGAAATTCTACATAAATTTTAACAGAATTTGTAGATGATGCTTGCTTTTGTGAATTTTTATGATAAGTATTATATAAAATGTGTATGTGCAACTTCAGTTCATTTCATGAGTGTAAGATCCCCATCTAAAACAGTTAAAATGGAAACTTAATTTCACTAGATAGCAAAATCAATTTTGAAGCAAGAAAATGCAAACAATAAATCAACGGACGTTTAACTTTACTGTAATTCAAAACTGTTTTTAAACTACATTTCTTATTATTACTACAGTTGTAAAAATGCAGTATTATAATAATAGTAGTCCATAGTGTACCAGTCACATTCCAAGATTGTAAAAATATCGTATTGGTCTTGCAATGAAATCCAAACCTTAGTATCCGGACACCAAAGTTGACACCACTATGGCATATAAACGATGTATTTATCTAGCTCTTGTAATGCCCTGTTCGTGAATTCGTATTAAATGAACTTACATACAAGATCTACATACTATTAATACTAAAGAACATTACAACAACGAAAAATGTACTCTTGCTCACAGCGAAAGAGTTTATTCTTCATGTAGCCCAACAGCATTGCGCAATAGGAATGTCCACACTATCTCCCAATGCTGTAGGGCTTTGGTATGAATAAACTCTTTGGTTGTGAGCAAGAGAACAGGCATATGCATTTATAATGGTGACATAAGAATATCTGAACATAGTGATTTATTCAAGATTTTGTCAAATAACTATGCTCACTGCCTTAACAAACAAAAAAAATCAGGCTTATTAGGGTAAACTGATAATCCGTTCGTATTTGTAAACTCCATATACACATTAATTATGAAGCAGATTTTTCAAAATTTTTGCATCGGGCGTCTCATGGGAAACTTCCCGGGTATCCCACTCCTAAATTGGGGTCTGCATCATCTCGCAAAGCTATGGCCCACCCCACTGAAGGCCTAAGACTTGCCCCATTGTCCTCCCACCCCGTTCCCACCAATCCGGCAAACATGACCGTGGGGATCCGTTCCTTGGTCAATTATTCCTCCAAAACGACCTCCACGTGCACATAGCTCAGCGGAATGTCCTTCATCTCCAACCCCTTATCTGAAAAGAGTGGCCGTTAATACGGGTTCAAGTACATAGTGGAAAGTTTTTTAACCATTTATATTTCAAATAAATTGAAGGTATTCGTTATTTCTTCGTATCCTTAGTATTCATCGTATCGTAAAATTACTTACGACGCTTATGAGATTTTGTAAACGTCCTAAGATTTTCTCATCGAAAATCGCGTTACTACGCTTACGATTTTTACGAAACCTGACCCCAAATTCTATCTCCGTAAACTATTTTACGATACTAAGGATACAAAGAAATAAACCGTCGTAAACGCACATAAGGAAGTAGCTTCAGACTACTTCATCCCAACCACTCCCAAGACGTCTGGGAACACTCGATTTCGCTCCATTTCATCTATAGATTCAATTTTTGTAAAAATCTCATTTTGCCCCGACCACACCCCCTGACGAAGAGTGGGTGTGGCACAACTCGGGACCAGTTAATTTCACTCTATTTCATCTATAGATCAAATTGCACTAAGAATCTCATTTTGCCCCGACCACACCCCCTGACGAAGAGTGGGTGTGGCACAACTCGGGACCAGTTAATTTCACTCTATTTCATCTATAGATCAAATTGCACTAAGAATCTCATTTTGCCCCGACCACACCCCCTGACGAAGAGTGGGTGTGGCACAACTCGGGACCAGTTAATTTCACTCTATTTCATCTATGTATAGATCAAATTGCACTAACAATGGGAGCGCAAACCATGTTCAGCCGAGATTTTCTTTTGACCATGTTAGTTTGAGAGAGGAAGTCTTTAGAAACAAATTTGGTTCGGCACTTGCGCAGATGCACAAAAATCAGCACGTTATAGGCGCCACAAGTTCGCAAAAACGCTCGATTCTTAGTGCAACGTCCATGGCGAGCTGAATTTTTCTCCGTTTCTCTCGCTCGCTCTGTGACTCCCACGCGAGGACATTGGCCCTGCAACCCTTCACCACTCGCATTTATCATCAATAAATAACGTCGAACTGTTATATTTTTAACTATAAATTTTGGATTTATTCACACAATTTCGTAAATTTGACGGATTTTTTTTTCCTCACAACCAAAATGATCAACATCACTTTTTCTGTCTTTTTCTGTTGCCAAATCATTTTTAAACCTTGTTCAGAATACAACCATAATGACAAAAAAATTCTATAAAATTACGAAATTGTGCCAAAAAAATCCAGAAAGTATGGTTAAAAATATAAAAATTCTGCACGATTGATGATAAATGTGAATGGTGAGGGGTTGCGGGGTCAACGTCCTCGGATGGGAGTGACAGAACGAGCCAGAGAGACGCATAAAAAGTTGAGCTCGCGCTGGACACTGCACGAAAAATCACGCGATTTTGCAACCTTGTGGCGCCCATAACATGCTGAAATTTGCGCATCTGCGCAAGTGCCGAACCAAATGTTGTTTCTAAAGACTTGCTCTTTCAAACGAACATGGTCACAAAATAATCTGGGCTGAACATGGTTTGCGCCTCCATTGTAAGAATCTCATTTTGCCTAGACCACACCCCCTGACTCCAGGGGGGGGTGGTTCGATTGACACCAAATTTGATAGGATCCTCCCCCTAGGGTCCTATGTATAATGGCGAAAACAGATTTAAATTATCTCGATCCGTTCTCCCGTTATCCTGCTGACAGACGGACAGACAAAGTCTTCGCATAGAGTAGCTGAAGCTACTTAATAACGAATACTCTCGTTATATTTGACATGATTTGATTTTATTTGTATTTTTGAGTCATGCCCCCATGACCATGGGAGAATGACCTGTCGGATTAAATGTGAGGAACAAACTGTTTCGAATGAACTGTACTGCTTATCATTATAAATTATGAAGATGAGCATAGTTGTTTTGAATCAGGATACAATTTTAAAATTTAAACAAAGAGCATATTAAAATATGTATAACCTACGAATTGTGGAACGGGGCCGGGCCTCAGAAACATCGAGGGCCCAGGATAGCTTAGTCCGGGAAGTGGAATTTACATTTCCTTCCACATCAAAGTAACCAAACGTGGTGATCCATCCCGTAATCCAACTTTTATTCGGGTCCCCTGACATATGACCTTCGTAATATTCAACGTCACAAATCTTGCTCCACCAACTTGTATCAACTTTCCCCTCTTTGGCGGCAAGAAATTGCTGGGTAATCTCCTTCAGCATGGTCCACCACGTTTCCAATCCTTCGTACTCCCTCAGCTTATCAATCCGCTTATCAATCTCCACCCAATCGGCTACACTTCCCTCCAAAACTACTTCCGGTATACCGCACAACGTAAATGAACATTCGTAGTCGAAATATTTTTTCATCGTCGCCATGAAAATGACGCCGCACGAGATGACGTCATTTTCCGTGGTGGTGGAAAAAGCGGGTAGAATCCAGTTCTTGACTTTACAGTCGGTCAAACTGAGGTCGACCGTTTTTCCCATGAGCTTAACAAATTCAATTCGAATCAAATAGTAATGGCGAAAGGGGCAAGGAAATCGAGATATAGGGTCCTTTGTCTACTCACGTTATTCTACGTGGCGACAATATTCGTAAATCTGGCCTTCAGTAAGTTACACGTGTCTCTAAAGATTCACGGATTCGTGTACTTTACGACATACTGCATTACTCTGGTGGGTCTATGGAATTTTGATTTGGACATTGCACCCATGCAAGTGGTCAATTCATTCATGGACTTTGAGGAGAAGATACTACAGATAAAAGGTGAATAAAACGTGTCTTATTATCTCTCTATTAAATAACATTACCGTCGGAGTGGTAGTGGTAATTAAGTAATGCAGATTGGTAATACAAATACTCCGTAGTAAAAGTTGACGAAACCGGTAAAACATTTCTGATTGTAGAAATAATTTTAAAACCCTGCAATAATAAATTTACCAACCAGAAGTTAATACGTTATTTCAACCAATGTTCGGACTAAAGCATTTTGAATGTGTCGATTAATGGAATCACTGCTGATTTAATAATTGATTGACCGTTCTTATCAGACAGTAATTATTTATCAATAATCGATACATGTTTGCTCGAAGTGAAAAGTTAATGAGAAGTTCGTAGTTTTTCTTGTACCTTTCTGAAATTTAAGTATTACATTGAATTGTAAAAAATGCAAAAAATTTAAGATACTGATCCTATCCCTCCAACATATGCACCTCGGTTATAGTGAAGTGATGTTAGTGGTGGCACATATAGCGAAGGCAAGTGCACAGTGCGCGGATCATTAAAAAAGCGGACAAATTATTTTCAGGTTCGAATCCTAGTCGGGGCGTTATTTTGCTTTGCATCTTTGTTGACGTTTTAAAGGTGGAGGGTCCAGAAACCACTATCCGTTTGACATTCGATGACCTGGTGACCGTGAGGACGGGACGAATAGTGAGAAATATAAAATTTTCCGACTTTTCATCTAGTCCTCTCGGTCACCAGGTCATCGAATGTCAAACGGATAGTGGTTTCTGGACCCTCCACCTTTAAAACGTCAACAAAGATGCAAAGCAAAATAACGCCCCGACTAGGATTCGAACCTGAAAATAATTTGTCCGCTTTTTTAATGATCCGCGCACTGTGCACTTGCCTTCGCTATATGTGCCACCACTAACATCACTTCACTGTAACCGAGGTGCATATGTTGGAGGGATAGGATCAGTACAAGAAATGAATTTGTGGTATCTTTTTGCATGGAAAAAATGAGAGGTATTGGAAGTACAAAAAATAGGTCCACTCATTCTAGGGATTTTCCGCTAAATGCAGCTCGTTTCTTGCATTTCTTGCACCACTGTTAGAAATTGTGCCTGCCAAAAATACATGTCACGCACTATGTATGCAGTACGTCATGCAGTGCAAAATTTAAGATAATTTATCCACCTTTTCACCCAATTAAGATTCATCCCTTTCTATGCAGATCAACCAAATTTGAAACCCTCTCTGGAATCGAAAGCGATGGAACTCCTCTTTCAAGTCGGTCAAATCACGTGTTTCGCCGTCACCTTGGCAGTATTTAGTCTCATAATATACAAACCTTGTACACTGCCGTTTCTTCTCTCAATTTCGCCAAATTGTGGAGTCATGTCGTGGAACATGTATAGATGGGAAATTTGGGTAGCTTTCTTCGAAATGTGGATCTGCTTGCATTTGTCCCTCTTAGGATCGACTTGGATCAGTTTTGTCTTCTTTGCAGGAATAGTTTGCCTCCTGGCGTATTTCCAGGTTCTTGATAGGTATGCATTTTGTTTAAAAAACAGAACTTAAGAAAAACGATATCAGTGTTGTTTTCTTTCTTTTTTGAAGACAAATATATTTTACATGGAACAAGATGTAGAATTTTATTGAAAACATAATACTTTGCACGAAATAAAACAATTTAAGAAATAATCACTATCTAGTGGACAAGTTAAATAATAATGTACAGAACTGTATAGCCTGAACAACCAGATGTGCATATTTGGCACCTTTCATTTCGTGGAAAAAATTAATGTTTTGTAGCTACGTTGACCTGCAAGAAATGTAGGTCAGCTTCTTTCGTTACTTGCTTTGTGGTGCACTAATTGTGTGTAGCTAGCCCGCAAGAAACAAAACACTGATAATAACATATATTCGAAATTAATTAATTACAAGTTTTTCTTCTCGATTTAGAAAAATCCGAAAAGCAAAAACACAATATGACAACAAACTCTGCATCCGAACCTACCGGAGTATCCAACTCTTGGAAAAACTGATGAACAGCTACGTAACGCAGCGAATCGTTCCTGCCCTCATCATTGGAGGACCAATCCTACAAATTGTGGCGCAATACGTGTGCATCAAGATTCGAGATGAAATTGAAATGCCCGGGTTTCTCGTGTTTCCCTTGCTCCTTCTGGACGCCACGTTGCTCAACGTGCTCGTCTTCACGTGTGCATCGTGGGTTTACAACGTGTCCGTGCAGGTAATGCGGACACAGGAAAGAAATCTATTGACAGATAAGAAGAATTCTGTGTTGAGGAGGAGTGCAAAGGCGTGCGCCGTGTTGAAAATCAAATTCGGATCAAACTTTATCGATAATGGGAGGCCGTTGGTAATTCAGAATTTCTGTCTGAATCAGACCGCGTCTCTAATTCTGATCAAGCGTGGTGACAATAAGGACTAGTAAGGAACTGGATGTAAAATTGGATGGGGGCTCGAGTAGAAATCCCTGTATCGATGTCTGCAGTAAATCAAGAAAAAGAAAGATGCATATTGTCCTCTGAACAATTTAATTTTTACATAAGAAGTATTGTGTTTTAAGCTTGCACTGACAAAAATGTTACAATTGTAAAATTAACATGTTAAGATACATTTGACACGATTAATATTCGATTATGTAGCCTTTAACCTATTTCGCATTAATGTCTTACAGTTAATCCATCACGAACAAAAATATTATCAAACATAGTCGTTAGTTTATATATAAATAAATCGACTTTTATACATCAAAGAGATTCAAGCGTATTTAAGATTGCATTTGAATATTTCATTTTTCCACAAATTTTCATTTCGTACAGAGTAAAAGTTAAATACTTGCCGGTTTTAGCAAGCCAAGATTTTTAGAAGTTCCCTCCACTTCCCAAGTATTAATTAGAATTACAGACATACGTTAAGACATTTTCTTTAGCTGTCACACATTATTGAATTGTATTTTAAAACATTTAAGTAAATACTTATGTGCTTCCAAAAACTCATGCAAACTGAATTACATACCTTCAGATCTAGCAATAAGCAAATTAATCGTGCAATCTATCCCATGTTCATACCACTCCCGTTTAGTCTCCTTATTCATGCAAAACAGTTTACTACCAGCAATCCCGGCGTACAATTTCAACGATTGAATCGACCTTATCTTCCTCCTCATATATTTCTTTACTCGCGCTTCGCAACCTTTAAACTTTCCCGCACAGCCACCATTTCCCTTTGCCGCCAACCCGATACGAAATGACCTCAACAGCCGGACAGAATCGTCCGTTACGCTGTGCGTCAGGGGCAACACGAGATAAAACACTATCCCCACAATGATCGAAATAAACGGGTAAAATAAGTACACTGGAAGCGGGAATAAATCGTAACATCGTAACGTTACGTAGTTCGCGAAGGTGGAAAGCATCATCCCAAATCCGAGAAGTGTCAAAGTTCCCACTTCTTGAAATGGGGCCACATTCTTGATCGTGATTTGAAGCAAGTGGTAAATTTTGATTAAGTACAGGGTAACCTGAGACTGGGCGGGACGAGAATTTGAATTCTCTATGAGCACGGCGAACACCTCGTTGCCTACTTTTAGTCCGACAAGAAAGGTTAAAATCAGGATGACGATGGACAAGCAGATTTCCGCTATATTGACGGCAACCATTATAGAGCGGATGATGTGGAGAAGGATGGCGGTTGGGCGGGAAAGCCGGAGGCGGGCGGCAATCATGACGACGATTGGGTAGAGGACGTCCTGTCTTAATATGATGCTGGAGGGGGCTAGGATGTAAGACGCGATTTCGCCCATTATTACCATGGCGGACATGAGTATTTTTTCCGTGTTGTGGCCGGTGTTGGGGGGGTTGGGCTGTTGGAAGGTTTTGGTGCCTGGAGAATATTTAGCTTTGCAAAATGGTTAAAAGGGTTAGATGTGGACAGGTTGACCCCATGCCATATATTGCCCCCGAGCTACATTGACCGCCGCACGCCATCCATAAATATACTTACAATGGAGAGGTGTCAGGTGGTTATCGCCAATGTGGCCGGACTAACTTTAAATTGTTCAGGCCCAGAAATAAGCCCACCCGTATTTTTTCGTTTTCCTGAATGGGCATATTTACGCCCGTGGCGGAATTTTCAAACAAAATTTCAGCCAAAATCCTGATTTTTAAAAACGCTGTAACTTTTCGAATTTTAGCCCGATTTCAAAAATTGAATACAATTAGTGTTCAGAATTACTTCCCTGAAAATATAAAAATTCATTTTCAAAAATTTTTTAAATTTAATATTTTCATGCCATTTCTGAGTTTTTAGAAATGAACAAAACGATAATTTTTTGAAAATTAAAAAATTTTTGAAAATGAATTTTTATATTTTCAGGGAAGTAATTCTGAACACAAATTGTATTCAATTTTTGAAGTCGGGCTAAAATTCGAAAAGTTACAGCGTTTTTAAAAATCAGGATTTTGGCTGAAATTTTTTTTGAAAATTCCGCCACGGGCGTAAATATGCCCATTCAGGAAAACGAAAAAATACGGGTGGGCTTATTTCTGGGCCTGAACAATTTAAAATTAGTCCGGTCCACATTGGCGATAACCACCTGACACCTCTCCATTGTTAGTGTATTTAGTAGCACTAATTTTACTATTTGAATATGAACTTTTAAACTATATTTTAATATGAAATTAAGGTAATTATTAATGGGCAAATTAGAGGTGACCTGGATATTCATGTT